AATGAGCCCTTGCTCTCAATGACAGCTGCACATCTTCGACTACAAGAACGAATCAGTTCTTGACAATCCTCGATACTAATTTTAGACCATTCTTCTTGATGCTTCACCCACAAATCCTCCGTGTTAGTGGGATTTCTTTCCATAACTTTCACTCCTAAGGTCTTCCAAAGATTTTCTATTGGATTTAAGTCAGGACTTTGCGGTGGCCAATCCATAATTTCCAAATCTTGCTCGCTAAGGTAACTCATTACCACCTTTGCCTTGTGACACGGGGCATTATCTTGCATGAAGGTAGCCCTATCGAAACCTGAATTCTGTATGATTGGCACAACATGATCTTGAACAATGTTTTTATAGATCTGCGCGTTTACACGAGTTTGTAACCGGACAAGAGGCGTTGTACCTTGGCTAGAAAACATTCCAAATACCATGACGTTTCCGCCCCCAAACTTGACAGTTTTCTTAATACACTTTGCACTTAATCTTTCACCAATACGTCTCTTTACATTGTTTTTTCCATCATTTCCAAATAAATTAAACTTGCTTTCATCACTGAAAAATACTTTTGCCCAATTTTCATATGTCCAAATTACATACCTGTTTGCAAACTCTAATCTCTTCTTATTCTTCGAACTAACAAGTGGTTTCTTCCCTGGGGTTCGATTAAACAGCCCTATTTCTTGCAGTCGTCTACAAAGAGTCTGTCTTGACACATTAACATATGAGGTACTATTCATAACCCTTTTAATTTCTATGCAAGACTTAAAACGGTCCTTTAATGACATAAGCTGCATTATTCGATCTTCTCTTGCCGAAGGTTTGCGGGGTCTGCCGGTTTTAAAAGCACTAACTATTTTGCCAGTATCATTGTAGGATTTAACAACCCTGCCTACAACACTCTTGGAACGTTTCACTTTCTCTGAAATCTCTAATGGTGTGCTTTTCCTTGTGTAGCTTCACAATAGCTTGTCTCACAGAGTAATCAAGTTTTTGGTGTTTCGCCATGGTGCCAGCTGATGCAACGTTTACAAATGACTAAGTAAGACTTATTCTTTAGAGGAAATCAAAAAAATTGAATATAGCATACTGTTTACATTGTTTTTCTCAATTTTGTCCCTTACTTTTGGACGATCCTATTTTGAAAATAAATAAATAATTGTTATAATTTTTTTCTTTCCTTTGCAAATGATCCAAATTTTAGTATGTTATTATGGATGATAACGACTAAGAGTATTTTTATTGTTTTTTTGCCGTTTACATTGTTTTTCTCCATTTTGTCACTTACTTTTGGACGTTCCAAATTTGAAAATAAATAAATAATTGTTATAATTCTTTTTCTATCCTTTGCAAATGATTCAAATTTTAGTATGTTATTATGGATGATAACGACTACCAGTTGTCAAAATTTCAGCTTTTCACAGTTGTTATTTCTAACAAATATTAGGTTTTAAAATTGTGTCCCTTAGTTTTGGACGCTACTGTATATATATATATATATATATATATAGTTCAGGGGTTTGTCTTCTACTTTCAATGGTCTCTCTGGAAATTTGTAGACCGGTGTTTTTTTTTCTCACCATGCAATTGCTTCGAAGGTTGGTGCACAACATCAGTTTTCTTTATGCTAAGTGTAAGACCAAATGCTTTACATGCAGCAGAGAAACGATTTATTAGATGTTGGGCCTCCTCAAAGGATGTCGCTACAAGAGCAGCCTCATCAGCAAACAACAAATCACAAATAATTTGCGTACGAAGGTGGGTCTTGGCTTTGAAGCGCTGATGATTGAAGAGACCACCAATTGTTCGAAACTGAAACTTGACGCCACTCTCTGTGTTTGCAAATGCATATTTCAGCATCACCGAGAAGAAAATGGCAAAAATGACGGGGCCATAACACAACCTTGCTTGGTGCCATTTGTGAAATCAAAGGACATCGTACAATCAGACACGATATTAGCTTCCATTCCTTCATGAAAGGAGATGATGACCTTTAGCATGTTTTCAGGGATGCCGAGTTTTCTCAAGACTTGCCAAAGAGCCTCTCGATTTACAGTGTCAAAAGCCTTCGTCAAGTCCACAAACGCCATGTATAACTCCTGGTTTTTCTCGCCAACCTTCTCTGCAACTTGACGAAGAGAAAATATCATGTCAATGGTGCCCCGACCCGAAAGAAAACCACATTGCGATTCAGAATAGATGTCGTCAACAAGGTGTATAATGATTCTGTTTAGAATCAGTCTATCTAGGATTTTTCCTGCAATTTAACGTAGTGATATCCCCCGATGATTATCACAGACACACCTGGAACCCTTGTTTTTGTAGAGGTGTTTGATAGAGGCGTCTTTATAATCCTGTGGGACACAGCCTGCCTTCCATATCTCCACGAAAAGGAGATGTAACTTTTTTTACCAACTTTTGGCCACCATGCTTATACACTTCGGGTGGAATAGGATCCTTATAACTAGGTGATTTTCCAGATGAGATTTGCTTGATGGAGTCA